CTGTACCTATTACCGCAAGTTTGTGAAGGACTTTGCAACTATAGCTGCTCCACTATATGATTTGACCAACAAAGGCCAAAAGTTTGAATGGACAGTTTCTTGGCAGCATGCTTTCAAGACATTGAAAGATAAATTGGCCTCAGCTCCACTTTTAAAGCTTCCAAATCCCTCACTGCCCTACATACTGGATTGTGATGCTAATATTGTCGGAATTGAAAGAATGTTGTCTCAGAAAGTGGGTGAAAACGTACATGTGGTGGCCTACTTCTGTAGGATCCTGAGTAGACCAGAGAGGAACTACTGTGTTACAGAAGGGAACTCCTTGCTATAGTAAAGAGTCTGACATATTTCCATCCTTACCTCTATGGGGCTAGGTTTACCATCAAGACAGACCATGCCACATTACACTGGTTAAGATAATAAAATAACCCAGAGAGACAAGTGGCACATTGGATCGGAAAGTTAGACCAGTATAATTGATATTGAATACAGAGAAGGAAAATCTCATGGAAATGCTGAAGACCCTGCAAAATAGAGTTTGAACTAACCAGGTGCCATCAAGTTGAAGTCGAAGTGACTGAAGGAGTTGATGATGGTGATGTGGAACCAAGTATAGATATTAAATCAGAACAGGAGAAAGACCAAGATTTGAAGCCAATAATTGATTTTATACAAGCAAGTGTTTTGCACTCTGCTTGGGAGAAGGTGTCTAGTTTAAGCCCTGTGACAAAGAACTATTGGGCACAATGGGACCAGTTGAAGCTTGAAGATGGTATTCTTCTCCGGAGATGGGAAACTGCAGATGGGAAATTGACGACTTGGCAAACAGTTATACCGAGAAAGTTACGGGAAGTTGTGTTGCGTCAATCTCATGATACTTTAACAAGAGGACATCTCGGAGTTAAGAAAACATTGAGTCACCTACGACAGAGATTGTACTAGATTAGGTATGAGGCAAGATGTGGAAGAGTGGTGCAGGACCTGCAGTACATGTTGTGCTAAAAGGGGACCCAAGCATAAGGGACATGCTCCAATGAAGTTATATCAAGTTGGTGCACCAGTGGAAAGAGTAGCCATTAACATTGCTGGTACATTGTCCCGAACTCGTGCTGGAAACAGGTACATTTGTGTGGTGATGGATTATTTCACCAAGTGGCCTGAGGCATATAGCTTCGGCTGCATTCAGGTCAAGGGCGTAACTTTGAATCAGCTGTGTTTCATGAATGCTGCGAGTTGTCTGGCATACAAAAGAACAAGACAACGCCACTTCACCCACAGTCTGATGGGATGGTAGAAAAGTACAACTGGACAGTGGAACAGGAATTGGCAAAGTTTTGTAATAGCCGCCAAGATGACTGGGATGTCTTACTCCCTCCACTGTTGATGGCCTATAGAACAGCAGAGCATGAAGCCACTGGATCACTCCAGCAAAGGTGATGTTTGGTCAGGAACTTTGGTTGCCAGTGGATCTGATAACAGGATGCCCACCTTACGAAGAGTTGCCTGAAAATGTGCCAGAGTTCGTGAAAGTGTTATCTTATAAGATAGATGATATTCATCTTCAAGTGCGTTCAAACTTGAAAATTTATGCGGATTCCATGAAGCTATGTTATGATAAGAAATCTACTGAAGTCAGCTTTGTACCAGGAGACAAGGTGTGGTTGTATAATCCCAGGAAGACAAAGAGAAGTCCGAGATGCCTTCTTCGTTAGTAGATAAGCCTGGCAGATAAAAGCCAGCAGGGACGAATGAAGAGAGAGCAGTAGTTATTTTGAGTTCCGTGTAATTTATTATTCTGTTAGTTTTGAGATAGTGAACCGTAAAGTGTGTTTTGCACTTGTCGAGAGCAGATTTATCGAGTTTGTGAATCGCCGTGATTTATAGCATGTATTATAAAAGTTGTTAAGTTTAAAGTGATGAGAAACGTATCGATTGTGGAACTTCTGTGTACTAAAAGTTTGTATCGAGGAAGAATAAACTGGTTTAATCACGAAAGGACTTGTATCTCTGAAGATTCTCGGAAAGAATTTCCACAGGAAACAAACAAACAAGCAGATACGTAACAGTTCACTAAAATGTCAGCTTTAGGTTGTTAAATATAATATTTGCAAGTAGTTTTCTGAAAAAAAAAACCGTTATTATATTAGTTTATCAGTGTTTATAAAACTTAAATAAGTATCAACTTATACAACTATTTTGCGAGTCTTTTATTTCAAATGTCTGTCATACATCAATTACAGCAATAATTATCTATACATCTTTTCGGAAAACGGACATGAATTCAACAAACACAATTCACAATCATTATTGTACATAATAATTAGTATACCAAACATTCAAATTTTACCTTATTTATGACAAGAATATGCTGCTTCTAACATTTTAATTTCACTTTACATAAAATGCAGAAGTTATTCATATATATCTTTACCATTCACTCTAACTAATACCACTTTCTTAAGTAAATCCATCAGAAAACAATTCTTTATAGTTTGTACCATAACGAAGCTAAGTGTGTACAACTGGCCTAAGTATATCAAGAACAGAAACATGCATAGGCCTAAAATTATGTATTCACAGCACTAGTTATAATTACATTAGGAAAGCAAGCTATTATTCAAATGTATTATATCCAACTATAGTAAATGTGCTAATTTACGGCCAGTTTCACCCAGGAACTATAGAAAACTGGTTGTAGTGATAATTGGCTTTACTAACATATAATATTAATAATTAAAACTGATACGGCACATGAATGCAATTCTATTTAAAGCTGCAGGTTAAAATGTTATGTCACATGCTATATTAAAATTGGATAATAAAGATAATGCAGAATAATGAAGCTGAATGAGATACTATCTACTAAAATTATGTTGAATTGGGAATAATTCTGTCCGTTGATCTGAGGACGACGTTTCCAATCACTAGTGTAGGTCTTCATAAGGTCAAACACGGTGCAATATTTGGATGTAATAAAAATGTACGTTTACTTCTAAATTAGCCCTACAATCAACTGGTATTGTAGCAGCCAGTTTCTGACCCCAGGATAAACAAGACCTTGTATATTTAGCAGACAAAACACGTATGAATGATTTTTATTTATGACCATTCGGTAACTTTTTAACATAAAAATTTAAAGAAAAATAGGTTGCAAGGGCTGGTTTATTTAAGTTACTAATCCAAATATAACATACCAAATAGTCTAGATACATACTTTGTGTATATATTGTGTCATGCAAAATGTAATATATATTCACGAAGGCCTAGCATTTTATATTCTATTATTTTTGGAAGACATCTACAGTTTATTTCCAAATACATAATTTTTTACGTAAGACAAGTGTAAATGCAAGGACCTAACTCTTACCTTTGTATTACTTAACTTGTATACTTATATAATCCGTTAACTGATGAAAAGGCAAGTTTCAGTTGAGTATAATTATGCCAAAAATGATAAACAACTCATGATTTAACTATGATAATAAGGAAATCTTTGCTAAAACTTTTTCAAATTAAAAAGGATCTGAAGTAGTTGTTTTAAGCATTACAAATTGTCTTATTAATCTTGGTATAAATTCTGAATACAATAGTATGATGAACTGGGAACATAGTTCAGCAGTGTTATGGTACTATGAGACACAGTCGACAACAGGAATAGAGATGCACGCTCATGTAGCTTAGTGTCTACCTACAGAAAGGGATCTATCTACTATGCAGGCTAACTAACCACTTCAAATTTCATAACACATACACAAAGACTGGTTAAATATAAATTCAACCAACTGATCTTTCTTGACCATTACAGTTTTGTTGTAGGCTTAGTATTTTTTCAGTAATTTATCTACATGAGTGTTGCTGCAGAAGGTTTTCTCCTACAGTTATATGCATTTTTCCCCATTAAAATTTGTAGTTTCATATTTTACTCATGAACCACTGTGGTAACCAACTCACCTGAAAACACACACGGTAATTATGATTTTGCTATTTAAAATAAATATCAAACTCACCTGAAAACTCGCTTGTGAATATGATGCAGTATTTCGTTATTTAACTGGTAACTATCCAACTCACCTGAAAACACGTTTGGTAAAAACAATGTGATATTTTATTATTTAACCAAGCAATGAAACTCAAATGGAAACTCAATTGGCAATTATGATGTGTTATTTTGTTATTTAACCACTCACAATCCAACTAAATAGGAAATTCACTCGGTAATGTAAAAAGTACAAACAAAGAGAACAAGTGTACAATTTAATTTATACAGATGACAGAGGAGATCAACAACAACAAAAAATATTTAGTTTTAAACAAAATTTACAGGCAACATATATTTCTTGAGTGCAACCTAGCTGACTTTTTTTGTGCATCCTAACTTATAACACCACTACTACTTCAATGAACTGAGCTGGGACAGATGTATCAAACTAGAGCTGTAAAAATCGTTTTTTGTTTCTACTCTATCAGGCAGTGAAATTAAAGTGGTAGTTATTTTCAAGATTTGTTAAACAAATATGCCATGTCACACACTTGTCATGTTTCTTATCAGTAAACTGTATGCAATTTGGAATTTTTTATCTTAGAAAACTCCAACCAATCAGGCAGATTCTGTAATAAATATTTGGCACCTGTTGATACCATTTACACTCTAAATACTGGATATAATGATTGTATTGGTGAAAAGTAATGAAAACTGTTCAGACTCAGCTTTAAATTTGCTGTTTTCAATCTTATATGACAAAAGGACTTTTAAAAAGCCAGGTTACAGATCCTAAAGTCCCAGCAGAGCTATCCCTAATTTAGCACTACTGATCCAAGAGCCTCTGCTACCAACATGGCTACTCTTAACAAATAGTGAAACTGTCACTTTAATAGTGCACTCATAGCTCAAAGTGTGGAGCATGTTCAGCAGCATATTATGGGCTCAAACCTTGGACCTTCCCATCCAACTTCTTAAACACATGGTTTATTACTGGCAAATTAAAAAACTCAATAACACGAGCATGTTCCTAAAAATAAACCTTCCATCTTCAGGTGAAAGTTTACCTTTTGAAAGAGCTTGAGTTACTGGCTTTGTTGGTTTGTGATGTGTCTATTTTTATAATTCTACATGTTTTACTCAGTTTGCTGCTACAAATGCACATAAAGACTAATCATTGCTTCTTGTGAATTTACACAGCTATTCCATTTTTTCAAAAATACAAATGTTAAAATTTAGACTTTTCCAAAGTTACAAGCTTACCAAGCCATCTAAAATAATACAAATCCTTTACAATTTCCTTGGCAATTGTTTATTAACCTTCTGAGGTCCTCCATAATTTGTTTTCTCTAGTCCTAACACAAGTTTAGTCACATAAAAACAGTCTGGTTGACTGGCGAACAAAATACGAATTTTAACATAACGAGTTCTTGGAGGCTAGCTCACTTCATTTGCTTCCGTTCGTAGCCAAGTGAACACACGATCAAGATAAAATGAATCTTGGAGGATCAAATTACCAGATGAGTATCATTCTTACTTAAGGTGTGGTGTTAGTAATTACACACCTTAATTACAATGGATATATATATATAATTATATTACTTATTCTGGATAAATGGGTTACAATGATAACAACAAATCATGGAGTTGGAGAGAGAGCACTGATCACATGTTTCACCTGGATGAGGGCACTGAAACTGCTGTTTCATGGGCCATAGGAAGTTCAATGACAATGAGGAAGGTGGCACTACTGGTTCACTTAGAAAGAAGAAAAACTCTAAAATCTGGCGGTCTTTACGTTGCATAACGTTTTGTCCACAACCTGGCAATCCTATCATGTTCCTCTCTGTGTTGGAGGTACTGAGTAGCGATACTACCTACCAGCGGATCAGCTGAAAACAACAACATAATCAACTCAAAAAAATTAAGCGAGTAAAATGTTTCTGCACATGATTATAAAATTAAAACACATAAAATGAGGATGACATGTTCTTACTAAAAGATTACAAAATGTTAATTTTCAATTCATCTACTAAGTCATTCTGCTCCTCTACAAATGTTTTTGTTTCTCATAGACCCCACTTAAGTCAAGTTGTCTCAATAGTAAAGGTCAGAGAGAATTATTTACATTTTTTAAAAGGCAAGGTTACACTTAGAATGATTACAAGACTGTGACACTTATGTCTAGACTTCAAGCTTTTCTTGGCCTTCACAACCAACTATACTACACCCACATTATCATTTAAGGCAGATCATCCTTCACTATTTATTACACCATTTAAATTACACTTAAGTTTGAGAACAAGCAGTGAAGTATTTTATGTGGAAATTATTATTAATTCTAGTTACTTTTATCATATCTTGTATTAATTTATGAGCTTTTCTCAAACTGACTTCAGTATGTTACATGTCACAATTCATGATCAATAAGATTAACTGTTTGAAATACTGAACATAGTCAACTGCCAAGTTATAAACATAACTACATCGTGTGCATAAGTATACACATTAAGTACCTGAACTGAGTAAGTCAATAATTTTTTTATTTGGCATAGCTTATTTCATGTAAGTTGGCAATACAGTTGAATTTTCAAATAGTCCAATAGACTAGTTTACGATTTTCTATAAGCTTCATATTGCAGGCACTTTCTCATTTTGTGATCATCAGCACCACAAGAACATTTTAAGCATGAGCTACAAAATGTCTGGAAATGATACATGCAATTGATTTATAACTGTGTAAAAGACTTCATAAATAAAATAGTTTGTTTGTTTGATAAATTTTGTGTAAAGCTACTTGAAGAGATAGCCATCCCTAATTTTGAAGTGATAGACTAGAGAAGGTAGTTAGTCAACATATCTCACCACCAACTCTTAGACTATATCCTAAAAAAAAGAGAGTCAAACCATTCTTATAAACTGATAGACTAGAGAATGTAGTTAGTTAACATATCTCACCATCAACTTTTCTTAAAAAAAGAATCGACTCTCATTCTCATAAACTGATAGACAAGAGAAGTTAGTTAGTCAACATATCTCACCACCAACTCTTCCTAAAAAAAGATTTGACTCTCATTCTTATAAAGCACTCATGACCTGAAAGTATTGATCATTTTCTTCCTGGTAACAGGTACAAATTGTGGTCTAGCACATTAATCACTTCGTTGCACCTGCCCCTTACTTTCCTTTGTAATTTACCAAATGCAAAAGATTCCCATCTAATAAGTTGTGAAAAGATACGAAAAGAATTTTGTGGAAGGTTATGCAACAAACTCTGATTAATGAAACACAAGTTAAAACACAAAAATGGCTTTTAGGACAAAAAACAATTTTTTTTTATTTATAGGTAAATAATGTTTCAGAGAACACTTATTCCATCAATAGTGAAGTAAAAAAAAATGTGGTTTGTGAAAACAGTGAGTAGAAATGACAGTGACATTTGAAACATTGAAAAAAAACAAGGTCAAAACAGAAGTCCATAATTTTGGTATCGATTGGTACAGAACAATAGTCAAAGGTCACCAAGTACACATTTATTACAAATATGAACATTTCCTGAGATATAGAAGGCAGATTGGAGCAGTAATTTTGCCAGTATTCTAATATAAATAAGTTGACTTTTTATCTTGTAAGAAGTGCCATCCTTCCTTTTAGTTCACTCTAATCTCTATACTTTTTTTATTTGTTCTTCACTAGATCTCTGGTTTTGTTTTTAAAGCATCCAGTCAATGAGTTACAGCCTTAATATCAGTTACGTTCTTGACAGATACATATTACATATCATGCACACAAACACACATACATATTTGTACAATCAAACAAAACTTAAATCAACCTGTAAACAATTCCTTACCTGGATTACAGTCTGTTAATAATGAGCATATAGAAAGAAGAACTTTAGAAATTGTTAGGGCAGGGCTCCAATTATCTTTCAAAATATCTAGACATATGATGCCCTGGCTGTTAATGTTACAATGGTAGATCCTGGTCCGGAAGGTCACCTGAAGAAAGTCACAAGGAATCAAGATATCTACACATGTTACTCTAGCTCTCAACCCAATGTCCCAGATTTAGATAAGATATATCTGGTTACTTAACCCTAAAACTATAATCGAGTAGTAATGACAGCTTGAAACTTGCTAACTATGAACAGCTTTCAAGCAATACATTTTTACAATCAAAACTAGTTTGAGTTTTAACTTGTAATGTGGTGATATTAATAAAAGTACAGTATAAACGTTATGTAGAATTATTTTCAAAAAAGGTATAATTATTCACAAACAGTTTGATGAAAGAAACTGAAGCCATATGATAGATAACTTACATTTCAAAATGTATGAATACATGCTTATGTGCATATCTGCTAACCACCATGCATGCATGCTGAATACTAACAAAGTTTTCATTTACCACAATCCACTAGTAAAGTTTAACTAAAACAAATGCACAAGACAAAACTGACATTACATTTACAAGATTCACCAAGTAACTTTCCAAGAAGGCTAAGATGACTGAGAATTAGTTTTCTGAGAAATGTATCTTTAGCTAAAACATATAACAAAGCAGATGTATCTTCACGAACAAACAGCCAATAACATCAAAAATAAAATTTAACAAGTACAAAATAAGTTACATCCATAATTCAGCATAGCAATGAACATGCTAAAGCATTCCAAAGCTCGTTTTGGTCTTAATAAACTTTTGCCTTCCATATGGCTGTTAACTCTTTTAATACGGGGTCAGTCAATGTGACAACCTCGTACCCATTTTGTGCTTGTTATAGTTTTCATGCTATAACTTTTAAATTAGTACACGAACATTAACGAAATTTGGCAGATTATCAGTAAACATTACAATGCTTTCATATGCAAAATATCTAATTTTTTTATTAAGTCTTAAAGTTTGTAAAGCAATATTTCTCTCATGCCTTTTTTTTCTTTTCACATCTTGCCTATCTATCGTACAAAGTAATTTTCATTTTAAGATTAAAAATACTTTTATGCATCACAAAAATTTTAAATTTCATATGCAAAATCTTTATAATGTCCGAATAGTTATCACATGTTTCTTAAGAAAAAACTTTATATTTTATCTGTTATTTTCAG